TGGGGCGCGTCGGAGGAGAGCTCTTCGCTGCGCGGGGTCAGATCGCGCCCCCCCCCTGTGAGTAATCCCGCCGCGGGTTTCTCCGTCGCGATGGTCTAGGGTGGAATAGCCGTAGCGGGTGGTCTTTTGGGAAGACAGCCTTAGCAGGGGCGCGCACCACCTCTGTCCTGACGTTGGCCCATGGGATGGTCGACCCATGGACGTGGGCCATCGCGTTCGGAAAAGGGGGGCTGGCCGCCTTGACGATGGGGAAATCACCCCTGGCCGCGCTGCCCCAGCCAATGCGTTTGCCTCCGTAGTGCTACTTGATGAATGCGAGGACCTTTGCGACGTGCGTCATGATTGCGCTCTGCGGTCTGATGTCCGCGATGCCGTACTTGGCGTTGACGAGGGCAGAGTCAGTCTCGGAGAGCTTCAGGGCGACTTGTTTCGCATCGTGGGCGTCTGCCTCGGCTCTGACGCCCAGCCTTCTGTTCGCGCGGACAGCGCCAGAAGCTTTGTGGTTGGTGGAGGTGCTGTGCGCTTCCTGAAGCATGGCCTGTTGACCATTTGGGCTCCGCGCGATGGTGCAGTCGCTCGGCGGGGGGGCTGCGGATCCGCGATAGCTGAAGTCGAAGTGGATGCCTCCTTTCCAGGAAGCGGAGAGAGTCAGAAGGACACCAACTGGCTTGCCCCCGAAGGTACCCGTGCGCTTGCGATTGCCTACTGCTGTGCCGTTGCGTCCTAAAGAATGCGTGGTTCCTTGTACTTCCACGGTGCGGGAGTGAAGCGCGAAAGCGGTCGTGAACGCGTCAATGAGGTCGTCGTCTATATGTTTGCTTGAAGCGTCCTTCTTGGTTGGTGTGGAACTACGTCGGATTGTGCTGCGCCGTGCCTGGCCCACATGGGCGGCGGTTGCCGTCGACAAGTGCAGCTCCTGAGAATTGCGCCGTGAACAGCGCCTCGGGCGCAGGCATGGCCGCGACGGCGTCAGCCTCACAGGTGGCGGCGCGGATCCAGACGACGGCGTCGGCTGGGTCAAGAAGAAATTCGACGACTTTCTGGAGGGCCTCGACCTCATCCCGTCCAAATTGGCAGATGGTCCCTTGGATATGTCCTGGCGTAGGCTTGGTTACCTTGGCCATGCGACGGAACACTGTGGTTCGGCTCTTTTTGGGTAGTCCGTGCTGATGGGCCCAATATTGCGAGCGCCACAGGTTTGTCCTGTGTGCAGGCCTGCTGTACTAAGCGGTCGCCCTCCTCTTGCGTGCGAAATGAGATGCTACTTGTGTGCGACGTTCTGTCGCCCTCTCTTTTCGGGAGCGATGATCACGGGAACATCCCAACAGCGTGCATCCAGGCTGATGAACAAGACAACAAACGTCTGCATTTTCCCTTGTTGGCAGCGGCGTCGACCGCGGTCCCTACTGGTGGTGGGTCACAGTATATGGCCTTTTTGTGACTGAAGGAGAACTGCACCAAGGTGTAGCCGAATGTGTGTACCCCGCACAGTCTCATTAGCTCGCCCTTGAGCTCACGTGGGTCGGAGCGGTGCTCCTGGCAAGTCGTATCGAACTCACACCGGCGTTTGTGAGCGAACTCGTTGTACGCAGCGTCTGCTCGGTCGACGCCACCACTGCTCTGGAGTGCGGCGGCGTAGGCTCCCTTCCGACTGAGGTTAAAGTACCCCGTCGATCTGCGAAGGTAGCCTTCCGGCGGCCCTTGCCTGGCTTCTTGGGCTGCCGTGGCGCAAGGGGCGCACGGCGAGGACCCTTCGGGGCCATGGCGCGCGCGCGCGTGCACAGACGGGGAAGCGACGTCAATCTGTCACGCCCCAGTATGGGCCGTGTCCGGCTTCGCGATGCAAAACAACGACTGCGGGGCGCTCGGCGTCTGGGCTCGCTCTGAGCAGAACTTCCGAGCCGAGCCTGGAAGATGATGAAGGAGGGAGGGAAGCGGGGGTGACCCCTATCTGTCATCGACTGCTGTCCTCTCGCTGAACCCCCCAGAGACGGAATTGACCGTGAGTCGCTCTCACCTCCGCATGCTGGCTTCCTCGCGCCCCCGTGCCAAGAACTCAACTCCCACCTCTGCAAACTGTGCTGCGCGGCGACTTCCCTTTCGGTACTCTCGTCCCCGTCGTCATCGTGACCGGTGTCATCTATTACTGCGAATGGGGGAACCAAAAGGTACCGATATTGCTACTCCCTGGACCCCTCCTGGGGTGCGACCTGACCAGCAATTCCGAAGCGAATCCAGCGGTGGCGACGAGGGCCTCCCATAAGGGCACAGCAGGGCGGAAACGAGGCGAGGGCAGTGGTATCGGTACCCTTTCCGCACCTGATCTGGCGCCAACGCCCCTCCTGCAAAATTCGGTCGTCAGCTTGGGTGCGCACGGGTCGGGCCGGGCGAGAGGGCGGGATAGCATAGGGGGGGTTCGAGAAGCAGCTCACACGTGGCTGGCTTTCCCGGCGCCTCCCGGCGCCGGAGGCGGCACATGCATCGAGGAATGGGCCCCTCGGTGGGGCCGAAACCAGCTGCATGCAGCAGATTTCGTAACCCCCCCGCTCCGTCCCCAATCCCCCCCCGTTCGTCCGGCCCCCCCCTCTCGTCCGGCCCCGAACGGGGCCCCGGCGCCCCCGCGGCGTGCCCGGCCAGAGGCGGCGCCTCACGGCCCTGGCGAGCGGGTCCTGCTGCCGCCGCAGCGCCTCGAGCTCGCGCGCCTGCGCCCGCACGGCCCGCCGCACCTCGGACATCTGGTCCTGGGCCGTCCCGGGGCAGCGGCGCGGCGGCCGGGGGGGCCAAACAGAAACACCAGTTGGGGGGGCCCAAACATATACACCACCACCTCCCTCACCCCCTCCCTCTCCCAGGAAAGAGAAAGGAAAGAGGAGGGTAGAGGAGAGAGGAGGAATCGACGTGGTGGTGGTGTATATTCTTCGGGCACCAATCAGCATCGAATCGGATTGTGCCTCGGGCCGGGCCGCATCGGCACAGAGTCGAGATCGAATCGGAGCAGGCTGCGCCGGGATGCACAGCAGCGCCATGTGAGAATCGCGCCGCATCGCCAATGCATCGCCAGTGCATCGCCGATGCATCGGCGATGCCTCGGCGTTGTATCGGCGACGTTGGCGATGCAACGGCGGTGTCGGCGTGGAGGGAATCGGGCTCCACGTCGAGCCGCATCGCCGATGCATCGGCGATGCGGCGGAATCCTCCGACCCCATCTCCTCGGACCCCACCTGGCAGGCCTGGGGCCCGAGGCGTCGAGGATCTTCGTCGCGAGGAAATCGCACGCGGCCGCGTGCACCCAAAACCGGTGCACCGGAAGGCGGGCGGCCACTGCGAGCTGCCGAAGGGAGGGCAGCGTAGACTCCCGTCGACCCTCGACCCTCGACCCGACCCTGGAGCCTCGACCCTCCACCCCCTCGACCCTCGGTCCTCTCGATCCTCGAGCCTCGACCCTTCGACTCGACCCTCGACCCTCTCGATCCTCTCGATCCTCGGTCCTCCCGATCCTGGAGCCTCGACCCTTCGACTCGACCCTGGGTCCTCTCGATCCCGGACTGCGGGACCCGTCGCTCGCCCACGCGCCCAATCCCCGACACCGGTGCGGCGGGGCACGGGTCCGAGGTCGGTCCGACGCGGGCCAGGGCCCGACACCTTGCTCAGCGGCCCCCCCTCACCCTTAGGTCGGCCGACGCCGTCTGCCGTGCGGAAGATGCCAGTCGCGGGCCATGCCACACGCACGAAGGGGCCGATGCAGCTTCCCCAGCTTCCCAAGTGGCCGATGCAACTTATGAGACTGAGCTCACCGAGCGCGAGGTTGCTTCCTCCGCCTGTCATCCGCGCCCGCGCTCCCCATCCTCATCGGGCGTACGCTGACATGGATTACGGTTCCGTGGATCTGGCGCGTGGGCGCTGGATCCACGGATCGGGGATGGTGCCCCAGAATCATGAAGCCAATGCTGCCTGACTTGGCGAGAGCGCCGATTCCGCATGGAGCTGGGACCCGTCGCCAAGCCATGCGTGTGAACACACGCTTGCCCTCCCTCCCTTCCCCCCTCCTGCCCGCGCGACGCGCGGCTGTCTTCGCGCCCTCGCGCCGACATCGAAGGGCAACCGCACTGGCTCAGATCCTCAGCCCATCCCACTGCTCACCTTTTCCCCCGCGCCCCCCGCGAAAGCCCAGGGCCCCTCCCTGGTATCGTAGCGCGCCGCGCTGGCGGCTTCGAGCATTAGCTCCTGGCGCGCGTGGCGGCAGAGGTCTGCCGATCATTATGTCTCTCTTTCTATCCCTCATTTTTTTTGTGTTCTCTCTCTCTCTCTCTCTCTGTCTCTTTCTCGTATTTTCATGTCTTCTTTTTGTTATATATACATATATACATACATACATATATATATATATATATATTGTTCCCCGGTCTCCCTCTCGCCTTCCCTCCCTCCTTCCCTCTTTCATTAATTGCACACCACTGATTGCGATTCGTACTAGATGCAAGTGTGCCAAGGGTCATGCAAAAGTGGGTGTCGTCTAGCCAGGTGACGAGATGCCCTGGATGGGCCGCGGAAAAACTGCCCGAAACCCTTCTTACTTATGCTGCCTACTCCAAATGATTTCTCTGGAACTCACGAAGATCAGAAGAAGGCCTCTTTCGGGATCAGGTTCAACACCGTGGGCCTTCTTAAAGGCCTCCTGGCGCTCCCTCGGCCCATCTTTCGGTTCTTTGTGCGACTTCTCACGGCGCTTCTGGGCCGGTTGGCGCCTTCGGCTCTCTGGGCCGTCTTGGGAACCTCTTGGGATGGACAGTATTGGAATTGTTCGGAGGCCGTTTGTGCATGTCGCTCATCAGTGGGATCGAGACCACGCGAACTGGACCGTGCGGCTTGCGCACCACCCAACTGCTCGCCGTGCGGGGAGGTTAACGACGCACAAAACAAAAGGCACAAGATGACGTGGCCCAACTCTGCAGTGTCACTTCACAACTTCTTGGTAAGAACCCGCATGGTTGAATCGAATCGCCCGGCGGACTCGCAGAGGAAGAAGAAACGAGAGTACGATTACGGGCGTTAAGGGTGAAGGGTGGAGGGTGTAGCGGCAATGGTACCATGAGAGATAAAAGAGCAGCGGTCCTTTTCCCATCAATGCCTGGTCTACCGCGCGAGCGCGCTGCAAACCAGCGTGGCCAGGGCCGCGCACTCGCGCTCCTGTTCGAATTTTGGCTACCAGGCAAAAGGGGAATGTCCCTCCGCAGCCCCTGCGCCGCAGAAAAACACCCACAACGAGGTGCCAGTGTTCACCGCGAGGCCTGCGCAATGGACACTCGGCACAACTCGTCGATGTCACACGAGCCTCAGTCCGAACTGAATGTCGTGAGCCCTGGGGGGCCTGTCGGCTCGTCCGTGGTCAGCCCGTAAATGTGAGATGAACTGACCATGACCAGGGCAATTAATGAATCGCAGCAGCACCCCACAGCAGGGAGACCCTAGGGACAAGTTCCTCCAATGTGGCGTCGACATGCCGATGCTGCCTCTCACCTGGGAGCAGAACGCTGATCGTAAGGGCACTCGCACAGATCGTGCCCGGCGCGCGCTTCCGCCGCGGCACTGGTCGCGCATGCCAGCCAGGTGCGCCCCGTGGCCCTCCAAAACGCACACAGCTGGTGTAGCCGCTAGCGTTCGGCACTCTTTTGTGAGCAGGCGCCGGCGGGCGTAGCTGGCCGTTGCGGCGCTTGCGCTGCTGTGCTGCTGGAGAGCACCCGCGCGCCCTGCTTCGTAGGCTCGCAATCGCAGTTCGTCCGGTTATTTGCCGCAGTGTGTCTCGAGCAGCTGGCGGCTAGCCCTTACCAATCACGGTTGTTGACTCGCGAGTGTTGGTCTGGTGAATGCCGAGCGTGCTGTCTGGATGCGGCCAACAGCAGCGCAGTGTCGCAGGTGCCTCCTTCGGCTGTTCGTAGCTGTCCCAGCGTCGGCAGCTCAGCGTGGCCAGCGTGCCAGGCCACCGTGATTAATGTTGGCAAATTGTATGAGAGCGTGGGCAGTAGTGCGAAGTTCGAAGTTGACAACGCGACTGTTCGCGCAATCGTTCCACCCACCCACCCGCAAATTGGTTTGCAAAGCCCCTGTGGCGGCGATTGCGCTGACTGTTTAATGCTGGTTGGCGCATCGCTGCGCCGCGTCAGCGCGCGCAAGCTCGCGCGCAGAGTGGCCAGCTAGTTTGGCGAGACCGACGCGGCCGCGGAGGCGCTGACCGCGGAAGACTCCCCGGCTCGTCTCGCAGTGCGCGCTGGCGCGCGGGCACTTCAGTGCGGGTCGGTGACTCGGGCGAGCGCGGTATCATTGTAATGCCGACAAGGCGGACACGATGCGGATAATAACGATGATGGTGTCGATGGTGCCGATGACGACGGCAAGGCCAACTGTCGGCGCCGATGCTGGTCACGCCGATGACGAAGAGGGGGTCCACGTGTCGGTGACGAAGATTGTGGGGAGATTTCGACATGCGCGCGCGGCCCACGCGCTCGAGTGGCCCGCATAGAGATGTCTATGTGGCGCAGTCTGCGTGATTCAATCTATGGGCTGCGACGGGACGCAACGGCGACGGCCACAACATTACCGCCTGACCGGCAATCAAGCCTAGACGATGGGCGGCGACGAGGCGGCGACGGGGCGATGACGGCAAGCACGAAATCGCCAGACCAACAATCAGGCCCAAACGAAGGGCGGCGACTAGGTGGCGACAGCGAGCACAGAACCGAACCGCCAGACCGTCAGACAGGCCCAAACGACGGGCGGCGACGAAGCGGCGACGGGGCGGCGATGGCGAGCACGCAGCCGTCAGACGGGCAAGCCCAGTTTTTTGACAAGAGGTAAGAACCCCTGAATGCAAGCACTGTTGGGGAACAGTTAACTGAAATTCTGCACAACCGAACATCACAAACAATCAAGAGACAGCACAGCAGTCAGGCCCTGTACCACACCCCCTGTCATCCATGTTACAGACCATAATGAGGCGCACATGCGTTGATCGAATAAATGATCCGAGTGGCGCCTTCCGCAAACGGAACAACCATGCGGGGTACATACGCGTGACGCGCCGCGAATATGTCAAAACATTCAAAACATCAGAGGTACGACATCGATTGCCACAAGCTTCCATGCGATGGATTGTCCCAACGCGAATCGGACAGAATCCTGCGTGCTCACGCTGTCGCCGAAATCATCAGCAACGCAACGGTGACTCGAGCATCTTCCCAAATGAGAACATGCGGGCCACACGCGCGCGAATGTCGACCGAGTCCAACAACCACCGCGCACCCGCCAACGCTATAAACAGAAATGTGGGCCACACGCGCAGGTCTCCGGGCGTGTACGACACAAACATTACAGCACCCTTCTGTGCGGAGCGTGATTGCACAGGTGTGCTCAAGCACATCTACGACAATTTATTGCAGGCGCAATCAAAATACGCCATGAGATCTGCATTCCTGCGCGCGCACTTCCATCCCCCCTCATCACCACCATCTTCAACAGAATCAACATCAGCATCACCATCATCACCTTCATCATCATCAGTATCATCACAATTGTCGTCATCATTGTTATCGCTGGTGCCGCCCCAGTTGGATATATATATATATATATATATATATATATATTGCGCGCGGGTGCGCCCGCACCATCCTCACCAGCACCACCGACATCCTCATCATCACAACCATCAGCATCATCCTCATTATCGCCAACGTCACCATTATCGCAATCGTCCCTTTCAAAAACAACTTCTTTGCCATCGCCACTTCATTGCCATCCCCTCCACAGCCGCCATGAACATCAACATCATCATCGTGATCGTCATCGCCGCTGTAAGCCGCCTGTTCAATTTAGCCAACAAGTTGCGGGCGGGTGGGAGGATTGCGCGATCGTCGGATTTGGAGATTTCAATATTGGCACACGAGTTGCACTTCATGGGTTGCCCAACGTACATTGCACCCCGTGGGTGGCACATAATCAATTCAATGGTCGGGATACACCCGCTGGCATAATCATGCTCGAACGTTTCCGCTGAATCGAAAACCACTGATGCGACGCAACCCACTACGGCAACCAACACAATCTATATCGAACGGCGTTCCTCTCCTCCGCCTTCGACCCGTCCAATGTCCGAGGCTCCACTGTGATGAACCAGGCGCGCTCCCTCCCCGACAACCCCGCGCATTGGGGATGACCGCAGGAAAGCGGGGGCCCAACGCAACGCCCGTGTTCTGCCTGGGGGGGCCTGCAGAGGTCCCCCCCTGCGCACAATGTTCGGCGCCATGGCCCGTTGCAGTACCTGTTGTCTGAAACATCATGGAACAGATGCGGCATCGTTTGTCCGCGCTGGGAGTTCCAAGAGCCATTTCGGGGCGGTGTGTCCATGGTCTTTCCCTTGTTCGCGCCCCAAGTCTCAACGTGCCACCGTGCGATTTCGGCCAAGGCCAGACCCCTCGCGCCCTCTCGCAAGTGAGCGTTTTTTTTTTTGTTTTTAATCCGGCGTTTCGACATTGGGCGGAAAAAGGGGGGGCGGAAAGGGGGGGGGTTCTGGCTCCAGACCTCTGCTTAGTGCGACTGTTTGGAACCGTGCGTCCTGTGGGGGAGACCCCACCTGCTCAAAACAGGAGCCAAACAACAACCAAGATCCACTCCACGGGGGAGGGGGAGGGGGAGGTTTGGGGGCCCGCGCCGATCGGCAAAACAATGAATGAAAAAAAGATCACCAGGGGCTCAAGAGTGGCAATGATTAAGCCCCGTGCGCGATCAACGAATCGGCACTTGCACATTTCCCGCCAAAGAGACAGCGGCGTTCGCCCAGTAGGCGACGGAATCGCGTGCTCGGGGGACAGTGAGCTGGAAACCGTTTCGGCTGACACGCGAGATGGGCCTGTCTGCGGGCCTGCGGGTCCGTCTGCGGGCCTGGACGACAGTTCACACCGCATACCCCGTAGCCAACACCACACAGGTTACACCACATCGCTTGCACTACACAGCTTGCATACCACAGCTTGCCCACATAGCTTCCACCACAAACCCTGCAACACGTATACTGGCCCCACATCGCTTTCAACCACATAGTTTGCACCACATACCTTGCAGTATAAAGCGTGAACACATAGGTAACACCACATAGTTGGCACCACATATGCTTACACCACATAGATTCTCCTCCTCTCTAATAACAAAATAGACTTACCCCCCCCCCCCCCCCGGCGTTATCCGCACCCCTTTCGGGTATGTGTATCACACATGATTCTGACCACATGTCCATCCTAAATATGACTTTCTACTATCCCGGAGAGGCCGGGATCGTTCCCCCGGAGCTTCCCTTGTACAAAACGATACGCGCGGACTGTTTGTATTCTGACATAAGACTTTGTCACGAATCCCTTGCAAAAAATGGGACGAAGTGCACACGCGCGCGTCGTCGCGTTCGCATGCCGAAATCCTTCAGAAAACCTTCGGTGCCGGAAGGATTTCGCAATCGAGTTTCCAACAAAACATACAAAAACAAGGTTTCGCAACATTGATTTCCTAAAAAAGCTTCCGCGCGAGCTCTTGCGAAATCTTAAGAAAACCATAGGTTTTCAATATTCTCACAATCTGCTATCAAACAGGCTTCGCGCGCGCATGTCGAAATCTGTCGAACGCCCTTGCGCGTGTGCCGTCGCGAGAATCCTCTGCAAAAAATTGGACGAAGTGCAGACGCGCGCGTCGTCGCGCGCGTATGCCGGAAACCTTCAAAACCCATCGGTTTCGGAAGGATTTCAACATCGTGTCCAAAAAACATACAAAAACACACGGCTTCGCAACACGGGTTTTCAACAAAAGCGTGCGCGCGCGCTCTTGCGTCGTCGTCGTCGTCGTCGTCGTCGTCGTCGCTGTCCTCCCTCCTCCCGCGTCTTCGTCGTCGTCGCCTACGTCGTCCTCTGTCTTTCCTCGTGTTCGTCGTCGTCGTCCTCTTTGGCGTCGTGGTCGTTGCCGTCGTCGTTGTCACCGTGGTCGTCCTTCCTCCTCCTCCCTCGTCGGCGTCGTCGTCCGTCGTCGGCGTCTCGTCGTCGTACCTCCTATTTCGTCGCCGTCGTCGTCGTCGTCGTCGTCGTCGTCGTCGTCGTCGTCGTCTTCCCTCCTCCCTCGTCGTTGTCGTCGTCGGCGTCGCCGTCCTTCCTCCTTCTTCGTCGTTCGCGTCGTCGCCGTCCTCCCTCCTCCCTCGTCGTTGTCGTCGTCGTCGTCGTTGTCGCCGTCGTCGTCCTCCCTCCTCCCTCGTCGTCGTCTTCGTTGGCAACGTCGTCGTCGTCTTCGTCGTCGTCGTCGGCGTCGTTGTCGTCGTCGTCGAAGTCGTCGGAGACGTCGTCGGTGTCGTCGTAGTCGTTGTCGTCGGTGTCGTCGTAGTCGGTCTTAAGAGGTTGTGTAAACCAAGTTGCGGGTGGGTGGGATGTTTGCAAGAGCGTGGGATGTGTCAAATCATTGGTACAAATCAGGTGCACCACGTAGATTGCACCACTTAGCTGACACCACATAGCTTGCACAACATAGCTTGCACTGCGTAGCTTGCATCGCATAGCTTACACCACCACATAGATTGCACCACGTGGATTGCATCACATAGCTGACACCACATAGGTTGCACCACGTAGATTGGTTGCACCACATAGCTTGCATCACATGGCTTACACCACACAGCTTGCACCATCTACCATATAGGTTACACCACATAGCCTGCACCACATAGCGTTTCTACACATCCACAATGAAAGAACTTGCTGTTTGAAGTCCACGCTCGCTAGCACATCTCGAGAACACAGTGCAAAGCAGTGCGGTGCGATCGATGTGGTGACTCATCGCATGCGGTGCGAGTTCAGTCCCGAAGCGCCAGCCAGCACGCCTTGCGCCCGCGAGGCGCCCAAGCGGCCCAGAACCTAGAAGCGCGCGAGCCGACGCGCGTGGGCGCCAGCGAAGGGCCCATGCGCCCCCACCAGCCCGAAGTCTCGAAGCGAGAGCCGCGCACGCAGGCCCCTCTGAGGCGCCCAAGACGACCAGAGCACCCCACCAGACCAGGATGCACTTTTGAAGCGCATTGTGGGGCGACTTGGAACTTCGCCGTGACGCAACGCGTTCGGCGAAGCTAACTCTCTGGGAGAAGAAACAAAATCAGCGCATCGCGCTGCGGATACGGGCGCCCCCTGGCGCCTCAGAAATCCGCGCGGAACACCAACAATTTACCTTTATGGCGTTTTTTTCTTCTCCGGGCAGGAGAAGGAGCAGGAGGAGGAGAAGGATTTATGCAATCCGCGCCGCTCGCTGAGTTTCATGTTCGGCAGGGTCCGCCACGCACGCCAGCGGAGCCCACCAGGATGACACGCCCAGCGTGCGCGCGCCTCGTGCTCCGCCCCTCTGCGCTGGCTGGCGGGGCTCTGTCGAGGAGAGTACTCTGGGGGGGGCACATGCGAACCCCACCCCCACACTTCACGATTTCTGAGGGGCAGGGTGGGGCTCACTTCGCTCGGGAGCTCCCGAACGAAGTGAACCCCACCCTGCCCCTCAGAAACCGTGGGGTGCAGGGGTGGGGTTCGCAGGTGGCCCCCCCAGGGTGCCCCGGGGCGCCTGCGGCCACGGGCGCCCCCTGGGCCGCACAGAGCGGCCGCGAGCCGAGGCACGGTGGCGCCCACGAGGCGCCCGCGGACGCCCCCTGGCGGAGAAAGCCTGGAGAGGCGAGCCGGCGCGCGGGGCCGCCCACCAGGCGCCCACCAACCAACTGCGAGACCCTCCGGGTGGATACGTCTCCCATCAGGGACCACGCACGGTAGGGTGTTGCACTGCTGATGTGCCATCTGTGGTGCGAGACTGGTGGTGCTGCGTGGTGCAGGCTGTGCGTGCAGGCGTTCTTGTGCAGAGGATGTGGTGCAATCTGTGTGGTGACAGGTGTGATCTATGTGGTGCGAACGACACGGCCCAAGCGATGTGGTGCAAGTTATGTGGTGTAGACTAAGTTGGATGGTAGCTGTGTGGTGTAAGCTGAGTGGTGCAAGCTAAGTTGCGCACTGCAAGGTGCAAACTATGTGGCGCAAGCTGCGTGGTGCAATCCATGTGGTGCAAGCTACCACGAGGCGCCCACGAGGCGCCCACGGGCGCACACCAGGTGACACCTCGGCGGACCCAGCCAGCGCACAGGGCGCCCACGAGGAGACCCCGGGCGCATACGGATAGCAGTAAGAGCCTCCATGTGCAAGCACTGTTCGGACACCCGTTCGCGATATGTCCGAGTTGACGCACGACCTCCACGCAAGCTTCTGTTTCAAGACATGCCCAAAACAAATAATTGCCTTTTTTTCACCCTGCCATATGTGACGCGGCTAAAGATGGAAACCGGGTGACGCGTGAGCCAACCTTCCTCCTCTTGCCCCCGCACGGTTGGCGCCGAGACAGCTGCTCTTGGCCAGACGTCTCGGTGTCGAAGGCGCCAACTGCGTCCAATAATCGCTTGGCTCCCGGCACCATGGCGCTGCCAGAGCATGAGCTCCTCAGTCTCGCACCCGTCTCTACAAGCGGCCAGCCCCGTGCCAGCAGCGACCCGAGCTCCGCGGGCGCAAGGACAACCTCGCTGCCGAGAACCCAGAGCCGCTCCTTCGCCACGTGCGCTCCCATCTCCTTCGCCACTGCCGCCTGCAAGGCTTTCCGAGCTGGGATGCACCTAGCGCTGCTGCTGCCAGCGCCCGTCTCCCCAGGCGCACCGTCTTCCCCAGGACCTGCGGGCGTGCCGCCCACTCCATCGGGCAGCTCGTGGCGCTTCTGCAGGAGCGCTAAGAAGAAACCTCCAGTGTCCTGGTCATGGGGCAGGAGCCGGCGACACCGTTGCAGCCGCATCCAGGAGCACTCAGCTTCGCTCGGCGGCCACATGCTGCCCAGTGCACCACGCATCCCAGCAGCACGCGCGGCAGCAACTGATGCGTGCCAACGCAGCTGACCCGACGCCTCCGCAGTCCGCTTCCCCTGCGGTGCGCTCACCCCAGGGGCAGCGAGGTCTGCGACACGCCAGGACTGAAGGCCTGCACGAGCTCGCAGCTCGGCGCCGAGCTTCTCGCCAGCGTCCTCCAAGACCACGGCCCCATCGGCGCAGCGCAACGCCTCGGCTACCACGGCCTCGTCTTCCACCGGATTCAGCGAGCACGTGCTGTAGACGAGCCTGCCGCCTGGCCGCAAGAGCCGCAGGCCACGCAACAAGAGCGCCACCTGCACTCCGTGCAGCTCCGCCCCCGGCTCCGGGGTCCACTGACGCAAAACGTCCGCCGCCTTCCGCACGGTTCCGTCCCCAGAGCAAGGAGCATCCAAAAGAATCCGGTCAAAGCCCTCATCACCCGCGACTCCGAAACCAGGGAACGGCAGCGTCTCTCCCAAACCAGAGGTCACCACCAGGGTGGCTTGCTCGTGGGAGGGTCTCCCCGCCAACAGTCGCTGCAAATGCGGGATGCGCTCTGACTCGCCAGCATCATTGGCCACCACCATGCCAGAATCCACCAACCCCTTTGAGGTCACCAGGCGCGTAATCAAATTTACTCTCGCCCCTTCAGTCCCCCCGCCAGGCTCAAGACGCCTCAGAGTTGGATCCGATTTGAAGTACGGCCTCAAGATAATTCCAAACAGTCACAACATCGCTCAAGACAACCTCCAACATGCCCCATGCCGGTATCCGATCCCATCCCGCTGCCATGAGCCCCCCAGAGACTGCTCGACCACCCCCGCAAGAGCTCAAATGTGCCCCCCGAGCGGCCCCCCAACCGCCCCCTAGAAATTCCACGAGGATCCCAACGACGCCCTGACAAAACAGACAAACTGAAAGTCATGTTTGTCTTGGGCGCTTGCTTTCCGAACTTCTCTGCGTTATGCGACTCTGTGTGCTGCACTGCACTCCGCAGAATCGAGTGCTGTTGCCTCTCGCCCCACACAGCAGTACGCTGCCTGGCAGGCCCCACCACTTTGTTTGGGCAGCCTCGCGTGCCGGCATCTACCTAGAGCGCATTTCCTTATTCGCGGCCATAACGGGCGTTTTGGAGGGGGAGGAGGGGGGACGGGAGGGGCACAGCGTAGTGCCCCCGCCTCCCCCCCCCATGCCTGTGGTGCTGGACGCACTGCGGCAGTGCCAGGGACGCACTGAGGGGGGGAGCGTTACGTTACGGGGAGGGGGGCAGAGGGTGGGGAGAGTAGGGGGCATAACGCTCGTGATGGCCCAGAGGGTAACAAGAACACTCCTATTTCATGAAGCCCTCCAGGCGCCTCCCGAGTCCCCCAAGACGGTCTTGGTAGTAAGTAGACAGCCCCAGGGCGGCTGCGAACAGCCCCCTCCCCCCCCTTCAAGAGACTTCCGAAGATGCCCCCCAGGAGGCTCCGGGGAGAACGGGGACGGAGGGAGGACAGACGAGGAGGAGGAGGAGGATGATGAGGAGGAGGAGGAGAAGAAGAAGAAGAAGAATAATAAGAAGAAGAAGAACAATAAGAAGAAAAAAAAGAATAATAAGAAGAATAATAATAATCAGAAGAATAAGAAGAAGAAGAAAAAGAAGACTAAGAAGAATAATAATAATCATAATAAGAAGAATAATAATAAGAAGAATAATAATAATAAGAAGAATAATAATAAGAAGAAGAATAATAATAATAATGAGAAGAAGAAGAAGGATAATAATAATAAGAATAATAAGAATAATACTAATAATAATAAGAAGAAGAATAATATGAAGAAGAAGACGAATAATAATAATAAGAAGAATAATAAGAATAATAATAACACTAATAATAAGAATAAGACGAATAATAAGAATAAAAATAAGAAGAATAATAATAATAAGAAGAGGAAAGGAACACTGTTCCCCAACGCAAGCACGTGCCGCGAGTCACCGCAACAGAGAGGGCGGCGGCTGTGGCGCTGGCCTGCGGGAGGACGCCGCCCGGGCTCCTGGCCGCGAGCCGCGGGCTCCGCCCCCGGACCCGCCGGAGGCCGGCGGGCCACCGCCTCCAGGAGCTGCGCCGTCTTCGTCCCCGGCGCCGCGCACATGTCCAGCACGCGGTCGCCGGCCTGGCCGGGCGCGAACTGCTGGGGGGGAGAAAGGTGGCCTTCGCGGGCCCCAAAGGCCCCCTCTTGGGCCCGAGAGGGCCCCCCTCCAGGGGGCCCCTCTTCTGCAGCCCTCGATGCCCCCCCATGAATGCACCGCCCCCCGCGACTTCCCGCCCAGCCTGAGCCCCAAGAAGCACGGCCGGAAGCATGGAGACGACCTCCTGCCGCATGACGTAGCCCGCCGCGACCCCCCGCTGGATGGCGTCGTGCAGGGCAGCCAGGGCGGGGAACTTCCTCCGCCCCACGCGCAGGGCAACCTTGTCCATGCCGAGTTCCCAGGCCACCAGGCCGCCCGGCAAGTGGCGGAGGGGGCGCACCTCTCGAGCGGCGAAGAGATCTGCATCCGCACCCCCGCGGTCTGGATTCAGGGGCGCGAATCCGCGGATGCGCGGTCGCACGGAGAATTGCGTCCCACGCTGGACATCCGCGAAGGACCGCCCCGCATCCGCGGGGTCGTGGATACGGTGACATCCCTATTCCTATATTTTTGCAAGCTCGGGCGGGGGGAAACCTGTCCCCCGCCCCAAAAAAGAACCGGACTCCCGGGATCTGGGGCATATGGGACCTTGGGCCTCGAAGCGGCCCCCTGGGCCTCGCAGGGCGTGGCGCGCTCCTGAAACGACCCCAGAGAGCCCCAATACGGTCCACGACGACCCCCAAGAAGCTGTTATACCCCTCAAGATTGTCCCAGAACGTTCCAAGAGGCCTCCAACAGCACTCCCAAGAAGGCCCCAAGAGGCAAACATCATTGATTTTCTGTTGGTGTTTGGTTTATTTTGGGGTTCTCTTTTCGGCTTCCCGACGCTCCAAGACGGCGGTCTCCTGGGCGTCCGAAACCGCCTGGGAGGCTCCAAATCGCCCCACAACCATCCGAAAGGGCTGCCAGGCAGTCCAAAAGAGCCCCAAAACGGCACAACAGGGGTCCAAGATGGCCCTCAGAGAGCCCCATGGCGGCCCAAAATGGCCCCAAGACACCCTCCGAAGCATTCCAAATTGTGACCCGGTCGTTCAGGGAGACCGCGGTTGGAGGCAGGATGGGCCGAGGAAGCCCCCAGAGGCCCCCAGAACACGCCCAGGAGGCCTACAGAAGGCCTTGAGAAAGCCTGAAACAACTTTTGTGAGGCCCCCAGAGGCTCTCCAAGGAGGAGCCTCCGCAAAAAGAGCTGAGGAGGATGGGGAGAATGCGCAGGGCATGGCGAAAATGAGGAAAAAGAAGCATGGAGGAAGGATAACGAACAACATTATTATAGCGGCGATGCCAGAAGAGGCAACAAGGAGTTATCGCTAAATTGTCGGCTTGACCTTCCTGCTAGTCCGCCTGCACACCAAACTTCAAGGACCAAGGTGCATGGCGCGAAGCGCCACTGCAGTCTTGTGTATATATATATATATATATGTTATCATAGTCTTCCTGCCCACGAGCACCAGGAACTTGAGCGTAGAGCCGCGCCAGCGCCACTCACGAAGGCCGCCCGCGCCCACATCGCCCGGGCCTGCCTTCTGCCCACCGCCCAGCGCCCCGCTGCGCAGCCGCTGCAGCAGCTTCTCGCTCCGCGCGTGGCCGGGGTTCACGCGGAAGGTGGCGGGCAGCGGCCGCGCCATGGCCGCCCGGAGCGCGGGCCACTCGCCCTCGGGCAAGAGCCGCTGCGCCCGGTAGTACTCCTCGAAGCGCGGGCTCCGGAACCCGTCCCGCTTCCACTGCGCGAGGGCCTCGTGCTCCTCTCGGGGCACAGTTCGCGTGGCAGCCGCAGGAACCGTCGGGGGTCCGCGCGGACTTCTCGGATCGGCGTTGAGGCCCTCCTGGCGTCGCCTCCGGCGCCGCCGGTGGCGCGCTCCACGCGGCGGGGAGGCGGATCCAGCGTCGATCCGAGAACTCCGCGCGAGCCTCCGCAAGTTCACATTGTCCGTGACATGTGTGTTGATCGTCGGAGAGGCCAGGGGGGGGAGGTGAGAAGGGGCAGGCCTTCTCAAGCCTCGCGCCTTCTGAAGGCTGCCGAAGCTTCTCAGAAGCCGCGAGGGCTTCCGAGGAGCCCCGCCGCCTGCTGAGAAGGCCTGCGCCCGCTCTAGAATCTGGAAAGAGTAGCAACGCCATGGCCAAAAGCTTCTGGCGCTCCGCGCAGATGTCTTGGATCTGCGTTGGACCCCCCTCCCTGGCGCGCTCCGCGCGCCAGGGGCGGCGCCGGAGGCGCCGCCAGGGGGCCCCAGCGCAGATCCAAGAAATCCGCGCGGAGCGCCAACATTTTATGTTTATGGCGCTTTCTCTTCTTCCTATCTCGCTTCCCCCCCCCTGGGCCCGCCGCCCACTCTCGTGCTCCTTCTTCGCGTCCTCGACGCTCTGCTTCCCCCGCCACCTGTTCCAGGGCATGCACGGCAGGGCGTCTGCCGGTGCAGCCGCCTTGGCCGCTGCCGCCCCCTCCGCGGCCCCGCCACTCTTCGGGCCGGGCGGCCCCTCCGCAAGACCGGCCGCCGACGGCGGCGTCCGCTTGGCCCCAGGCGCCTTGGCCCTCGGCGCGGCACCCCTTCTCGGGTCACGAGGTCCGCCCCGCGTCTTGTTGCCCCGGCGGCCCATGGGCGCGCACACACGAGGTCCCGCTCGAGACAGCGGGCCCTGAGCTGGGAGCGGCACCTCGAGCAGAAACGCTGACGTCCACGCACACAGGGACTCCTCCTCCTCCTCCTCCTCCTCCTCCTCCTCCTCCATATTCACCCTCTCCCCCTCTCCCACCCTCTGCCCCTGCTGCTCCTCATTTCCCTCGTCCACTCGTTTCCACCCTACCTGGTACCCCTTCCCTCTCCTCCTCCCTCCATGCGGGGCCCCCATGAAGTCCCGACACTTTCCCTCCGGGCCGGGCTTTCCTCCCGAGCTGTCTCTTGCCAGTGCCAGGGCCTGGCGAGGGCCCCCGGAGGCCGCACACGAACCTTCCGTTGGGCATTTTTTTGTTTCCTCGGCGCGGACCTCTCTGTGCTCGGCCTCGGCTCTGGCGCCGAGGCCCGGGCGGCAGAGTCGGCTCGCAAGGCCTCCGCAGCGGAGGGCCTCGCGCTGCGCCTCGAGCGGCCCGCGCCCCCGGCGGGCCCCTACGACGGCCCCGAGGCCCCGCGAGGGCCCCCGGAGGCCGAAAAGAGCGAACAGAAACCTCCCGTCGTGATTTTGTCATGATCCTTATTAAGGGGGCTGGCCCCGCCGCCGTCGGCCGCCTGCCCCACCGCGCACGAGGTCGAACCCGCTGCTGCGCGGCCAGCCCGGCAAGAGGCGTGCCAGGCGGGGCGGCCGAAGGGGCCCCGAGAGGTCCCCAAGGGCGGCGCCGAGGTTGGGTCGGAGACGGCCAGAGGCGGTCTCGAGAAAACCGAGACGGAATTTGTTCGCGTCGTTTTCGGCCTCCCGGGGCTCTCGCCGGGCCTCGGGACCGTCAACAAAACGACTCGGGGTGAAACACCAGCCCCAGGGAAGCGGTCGGGAGGTCGGGGCCCCGTGTCTCGAACAAACTCGAGACGCCGGAAGTCTGGGAAGGGCGACGCCGAGGTGGGTCGGAAATGGCCGGAGGCGGTCCCGAGGCGGCCCCATCATGACTGAATTAGCGAAGAGAGAACGGCATAGAAAGTAGACTTCTCCGCCGCAGGGGGCCCCCGTCCCATGGGCGGGTGGGAATGTTATACCCCGACGGTCGCAGGTGGGGGAGCAAACTTTCCAGCAGCCGTGGGACGGGGGTCCCCGATGGCGGCGAAACTTCTGCTGTACCGTTCTTCGCCCTCCAAATCACGGGCGCCAGGGACTGCCCAGAAAGGCCAACGAGACGATGCCACAGGGAGGCCCTCCGAGAGGCTCGTCGGGCGGCCGCCTGCCCGCCGAACGCAGCACGCGGTCCGGGCCCCGGCGATGGCCCCCGAGGTGCGTGGACGATGACCCGAGGCGGCGTCTGGACGGCCCTTGGGAGCCGGTGGCTCAGAGATAGGGGTCCTGAGGGATGGGGCCCCGAGGACAGGAGGGGAGCCCATAGGGCAGATTCACGTCGCTGGAGACACCTCGCCCTGACGACTCCATACCCCACCTTGGACCCCTCGAAGGAGGAGGCCCCCGCGACGACGTCGCAGGGAGGCCCTCCGAGCGGCTCTCCCGGAGGCCCCCCATGCCGACGGAGCGCAGCCTGCGGCCGCGCTGCGGGGCGCGTCGCAGACGCCCCCGAGGCGAAGCCTGCACGGCTCAGGAGAGGAGGCCTAAGACGAAGCTGGGACGAGGATGAACTCGGATACGGACAAGTCGAGAATCTCTGACATCTGGCGGCTCTGGAGGATGGCTCGGGCGCCGCGGCCTTCTCAGAGCGCTCCAGAACGCGCTGAGAGCGTTCCAGAACGCTCTGGAGCGGATTTCCCCATGTCCTAGCCTTGTGGATGCCACGACAATGGACACCCTAACAGTCCTACCATTCATTGGTCCGAAAGATACCCGTACCCGGGGCCAGCCAAGGTGAGATGGGCCGTCCGGGGGACTGGGCGCTTGCTATTGTGCCCGGTCAGCTTGCCCCGCGCGCGCCAGTGCAGCATCCGCGCGTCAAGACGCAACGGCGCGCTCGATGGTTGGGTGTCTGATTGCAGCAACAAGCGCTGGTTTTTGTTAGGGACGTCTCGGGGCATCGTGGTGCGTGCGCGGTTCAAAGCCGCCCATATGTGGCGGCGCCTGTCCCAATCGATAAAGAGTTGCATTTCCTCGCTATCCTGGCAACCAATGCGTCTGGGCCTGCCCTGAGGAACGACGTTGCAATGTCGCGCCCCCAGGGGGCCGCAGCGGCCACGTCGGGGACGGGCTCTGGGGGGCATGATATGTGCTCGAGAGCGTTTTGGGCCTGCCGCCACCTCGGCTAGGTACGGGGACCTGCCTGAAACCACCGAAACATACCCGGACCTAGCTGGGGTGAGCTGCGGCACCCCGGCTAGGTACGGGTATGTTTTTTGGGGGTTTTCATGGGGCAACCGTACTTAGCTGGGGTGATCCGCAGACGGCCGTCCAAGGGGGGCGGCCTCTGGCGACCTCGCCCAGGGCACAGATTCGCGATGTCTCTGCATCGAGCAATTCGCGATAGGGCGGTTGTCGCGCAATGACGTTCGCGCCAGAGTTGTTCGCATGCGCCCCCGAGTGCGCGTTGACTCCTCAACGCCCGGATGTGTGTCCGGGGGCGCGCCTCCGCAGTAGCTGGTCTACGTCGACAACAACCAACGCAGGGTCGGGCGCTCCGCCGATTCGAACGCACGTGTGATCGGTGCTAACGTGCGCCCCGAGAACACAGCGGTCTGCAATGCTCTATCGGCTGTCGTTTCTACACTTGTGCAGCCGCCGTCAGCTGCGACGAACCGCCCCCCCGGCCCCTTGCCACCCTGTCTAGGTAAGGGTACGGGTATCTTTCGCGCTCGAGAACCATTGCATTTGAAATGTGCTTAAAATGTCGGAACAATGTCCTAAGCATATTTTTTACATGTTCGAAGCATGCTTAACACATGTTTTAGACATCTGGAAATTATTTGGCAACATGCCTCCTCTCCACTGATCGTCCCCCACAGTCCTGGCCTCGTCCTTAGGCCCCCGACACGACGCCGCAGGGAGGCCCTCCGAGCGACTCTCCCAGAGGCCCCCCCCCGGCGCCTGCGGAGCGCAGCGCGCGGCCGAACGCTGCCGCCGGCGCCCTCCGGCGGCGCGGCTCGCCGTCGTCGCCTTTCCGCGCCTCGAGCGCCGGCAGCGGCGCGGCCACCGCGAGGTGCCCTGGAGGAGCGCCACGAGCTCGCCATTCGCTCGGGCGTGCATTCCCCGTGCGCTCTGCGAGCCCGTGCGTCTGTCTGGGTCGCCAGGTGAGTCCAGCTGCTCCTCGGACGCGGTGGTCCTCGCCGAGGGAAACAGATGCACACGCCCGAGCGCTGCCCAGGCGAGCGATGCCCAAGCACGGAGGAGCGACACGAGAGGCCACGAGCGGGGCTCCTCAGGCCAGGGCGCCGGCCCTGGGCCACGAGGTGGCAAGCCCAGAACGGGCACGGAGTAGAACGCACGGGGTGAGGAGGAGGAGGAGGAGGAGGAGGACGACGACGAGGAGGAGGATAAGGAGGGGGAGGAGGAGGAGGAGAGGGCAGCGGAGGAGGCCCCCCAAAACCGGCAGCGGGCGCGGTTGCAAGGCGGCCTCTTGCCGCCAGACTCCCGCCTCAAAGCGAGACAACCTCCGCGGCGACGCCCGAGGGGCAGCGGGAAGGGGCTCCCCAGGCCGCGGCTCCAGCCCTGGGCCACGGTGGGGGAGGCTCGAGGAAGAACGGCTCGTGGAAGGCAGACCTGCCCTCACATCGCCGCCTCACCCAGAGCGCTGACAAACAACCCAAAAAGGCTGTGCCGATCGCGAGCTTGAACTCGTCCATTGCTGCACTGTGTGGAGGAGGAGGAGGAGGAGGAGGAGGAGGAGGAGGAGGAGGAGGCGGGAGCCCGAGCCGGCCATCATCTCAGCGCCTCGGCCGTGGAGCAAAACGCGCGCGCGCGGGGGCCGCCCGTGAGGCTCGCCGCCGGAGCTGTCTGAGGTCGGGTCGGCGGAGGGCGTCCCGCAGCTCGGCTCGGCTAAGCCGAGGCCGCTCTGGTCCCGTCCCCGGACAGCCGGCGCCTCGATGTTGTTCGAAACTCCGGCCCCCGACCTCTCGATCACTTCCCCACCTATCCCGAGCTGCTCTGTTGACGGCCCTTTCCACCCCGAGCTGTCTTGTTGACGGTCCCGAGGCCCCTCCAGGGCCCCAGAGAGTTCGAAACCTATGAAACACAGCTCCGCTCCGATTCCTCTCGAGACGTCCGACGTCTGGGTCCGCGGAGCCCTCGAGCCGAGTGGCGTGTATATACGCCGAGCGCCGTGCGGCCGTCCTCGGGAACCGCTGGCGGGCAGGCTCCGCCCGCTTCTGAGCCCGCGGCCGTCCACGCCCCAATCGCCGCGGAGATGGGCGAGGAAGGGGAGGACGAGAATAGGAGGAGGAGCAGGAGGAGCAGGAGGAGCAGGAGGAGGAGGAGGAGCAGGAGGAGGAGGAGGAGGAGGAGGAGGTGGAAGCCTTGCCGCCACCTTCTTCTGTCCACAGCGCTCCAGCGCCTTACCCGCCCCCCATCCACACCAGCCCCTCCGCCGCGACTGCCGCGCGGCATCTGGGAGCATTGCATCCGTCTTCGCCTCACCTCGGACTTCGGGCAGGAGTGGCAGGTTGTGGGCCCCCAGTCAAGGAGAGGCGCGCCGAGATGGGTTTTGTGAATTCACCTTCCCCCAGGAGGGCTGGGGACCAAGCTCGGGCCACCCCCGCACTCGCACAACGCCGGCCAAGGCAGGCGCCACCAACTCCTCACCCTCTCCTCCTCTCCTCCCGAGGTGCTTCACTGTCAT